CGAGTTTTTTTGCTCAAAAGGGCTTAATGACGTGCCTGAGATCTCAATATTTTGGCCTCGATTTCCGAGTTCTAAATGAAGCGAAGAATTCGCAAAAAAGGATTGAATGCGATGCGTGAGAGGACTAGCGCAAAAGTAGATGCAAGAAGATATTTAAGAAATTTCACTGATGAGGCGACATCGCAGAGCCTGTGACTTTGAAGCTTACGTATAGAACTTCAGCGCTCACTTATACATCCTGCTGTCTTATTTGCAGTTGACACAAAACTAGATTGTATGTAGGAAAAGTGTTGTGGTGTTCCATTTCAACTTACCGAAGTATTCCTTCACAACCTACCGATTATTGCCTGTCATTTTTTGTAGGGGGACTGGTGTAGTTCAGGGTAAGTAAATGGAAGGCCCGAAAGAGAAAGATCACGATGGCAATGAATTCAATTGAAAAAGCAGAAGAGTACACAAGAACAACGATGTTATGTAATGTGCGGCCATCAGCTGCTAGGTCGCTCCCCAGGTACTGGAAGTCCGCTACCCTTTCGATGCTCTCGCCGTGGCAGTCTACGATGGGTTCGGTTCAGTCTTCAGAGCGGGTGTGTAGCTACAGAATCGTCCGATGCAATTGATGGGCGTGGCCTGCGACATACCTGCGGCGAGTAGACGAAGCTTGCGTCTCGCCGTTTGAATAGGGATATTGAAGGTGAGGTTAAGATTGATATCACCCGGGATCGAGTCTTGTGTTCAGTTACGGTTAAGTTTCTAGTGAGTGTGAAAAAAATCTTAGAACAGAAGTTCATTGGGGTCTTAAACATTTGCTCTGGTGGGTCATGTTTTACAGCAGCTCACAGGAAAAGTTGGCCATCCATCTATTTAATATTGACGCTGGCGACTGCACAAATCATGTGAACCTCATAAACATCCTACTATGTACATACAATCCGCTAATTGTCTGCTGGTGTGTGTGTATGTGAATGTTTGCCTGTCTGTATGTGTGTTTGATCGGAAATTCATGAATTCATTACTTCCTTCCAATAAGCGATAGAGCGCTCAAACTGATAAGTATGTAGTGGTTCGGGCAGGAACACTATTGGTGGGTGGCAGGTCGTGATAACAGCTGATAAGGTCTATACCGGGGCTCAGAAGGGAAGGGTCACCAAGTTTATAGAGCGGGTCACAGCAACGACGGGACGTTGGATCCAAGGAGTAAGATAGGGGGCAGGGAGGGAACATAACCAATGGGTGGCAAGACGTGATAGCAACCGATAAGTTACTATAAGAGGTCTCAGAAAGGGAGTGTGACCTACTTCATAGGCACGCCGTAGCAACAACTGGACGATAGTTCCAAGAAGTAATACAAGGGGCAGGAAGGAAACATCATTGGTGGGTAGCAGGAAGTGGTAACAGCTGAAAAAATACCATAAGGGGCCTTAGAAAGGGAGTGTAGCCAATTTCATAGCCACAGCATCGATGGGACGTCAGTTCCAAGAATCAATATAAGGGGGCAGGATGGGAACATTGGTAGGCGTCAGAAAATGATAGCAACTGATAAGGGCTGATAAGAGGCCCTTAAATGCAAAATTCCTCCAGTTGTTTGGTCCTTAACAAGTGAAGTAACACGGTACAGTAACAAGTGGACATTAGCTATAAAAAGGGTATGGGTTGATGAATAGTAGGTAAGGGTATATATTTAGAGCTACTACATGGCAGGCGACATGCTTCTCAAAGATGACGGGTGTCAGCTCCCCGGCCACGACAGAGTGTCCCCACAGGAACTCATGATATGGAATGGGGCCAAAAGTACCTTGACGGAGACTATTAAGCTTCGAAACTTCTACAAAGCCATGATATACCCGCGTGCACGAATCTCAGAAAACACTACTAACTCTACTAATCATGGGTAAAAACACTTGAAATCTTTTTAAATTTTTTTCTAGATCAAAATGTCGCAAAACTTCTTTCCCAATCTAATAGAATAACTTTAGAAATTATGCGTGCGAAACTGGGATTGCCGAATTCCAACGAGCTATTGCACAATGAAATAAATCATCGATGTGTTGAAGCGGAGTCGAAACATAGACCACCACATGAAATGGATTACTTTCATTACATGTGTCCTTTCCGAGAAAAGCATAAGCAGAACGTCATACATTCCACGTAGGATGTGGGCGGCAAGATTTGGTAAACCACAGATTGGTCGCATACAGAGTGATTCATTTGCTACGGGTGGCGTACCTTCAACTTACTACGGCCGTGGCCGTCGAAATGTTTTGATCTTTTTTCTAGAATAATTTGTTTAAAGTGTCATAGGACTTTGTTTCCAGTCTGATATTAGGGCATCAACGCTGAGCATCAAAGTGACGAAAATGGGCAATCTCTACAGCGCTTTGTTTTTTTAGGTCCCTGACGAGCAGGAGAGCTCAAAATTTGTGTACTTGTGTATGGACAAGGAACACTGACCCTAACGACCCCTTAAGATCGGTTCATGTGATTCAGAGCTGGGATTTTTGATCCCGTCAATATTCAGTGCACCTGGGGCCCCTCTTAGGAGCTGGTGCATGCGTATCCTATACAGCAAGCCTTTGAACCCTTCCCATCAAGTAATGGTTCGCTCAGTGAGAGTGTGGAGATGATAGTCGGTTGGTGAAAGTTCGGAGAATATGGCGGGTGAGGTACTTTCGTAGAACTTCAACCCCCAATTCGTTCAATTTATGGATAGTGACTTGTGAAACGTGTGGGCGGGCCTTGTCGTGCAGAAGAATCGGACCCTTTCTTTTGACAAGTGCTGGCTGCAGCTGACGCAATTTTCGGTACATTTCGTCGATTCCTTCACAGTAGGAATCTGCTGTGATGGTTCGGCCTGGTGATAAAAAGTTATAGTGGATCACACCAGCCGATGATCACCAAACTGTGACCAGAATCTTTTTTTCCTGAGGGTTCGGCTTTGGAAATTGCCTCGGTGGTTCGTCGGTATCCAACCATTGTCCGGAACGTCTCCTGTTATCATACATGATCCATTTTCCATCATTGATGATAATTCGGTCCAAAAACGGGTCGTTTCTTCTGCGCAAAAGCAATGCAGAAGGAATCTCGAGACGTGCCGTTTCCTGCTGGTCACTCCGATTGTGGGGATTCATCGTTATCTTCAGATGCCCAGAAAGGATCCGTATGTTCCTCCTCCACGAAGCTATCTCCCTCGCAGTCGATTATACGGTTGTAGTACAGTGCGTCGCGCACAATAAGATAGAAACTCTCTGCAATCTTCTTTTCTTTGCGGGATAGTGATCAACAAATATCGCAAAGACCCGAATTCTTTCACTAGGTGTGATAGCACCAAAGTCCGGCAGAACATTTCCAACTATGGTGACAGGTCGCAAAGATGTTGGCTGATATTGTGGGCGTAAGTGAAGAGAGCTACCAGAGATGACGAATTCTTTCGTTGGCCACCAACTTGTCATCCTATAGGATGATGAAATCTCGCAGTTCACGAGCTCCAAGCAGATATGCATGTGTATTTGGTCCCTTGCTTGAGCTAGTTAGGCAAAAGTGTAAGTTTCCAGATAATCGTTCGCGGGGCTCAATAAGTAGCAGGGAGGGGTCTTGGTGGTCGGACAGGTACGCAAAACTACTTCCCAAGTGTTTAGCACGCGTTTCAAGAAAAAGCAAAACTACGAAATGCATCAAGGATTTGAACCTCCGTCTCACTAGTATGAAGCCATCCACTTATCCGCTGCGCCAACGAGCCACAGCGGCAGCCGGGTCACGAGGGGTTTACGAGCGCAAAGCATGGGCAGGGGGTCGCACCGCAATGGTTAGCACGGTAGCAAAAAAGGTCCGTAACTCTGCGCCCAGAATCGTTTAGCAGATTTGGAAGTCAGATCTGATATCAGTATCCGGAGACGCTCCTAGGAATATACATCGCATTCTGAATGGCCAGGACGAGTTGGTATCCTTCCCTTGTTAGCCAAAAGCAGATGTGCATGGGATAAAGATTTCAGTGTGTTATTAATGGGACTTCGAAGCGGTATCGCTGGATACTAGCACAGCTGTGAGGAACACAGTCCACTCTAATCAGTTCCAAAACATGGATGACGTCACGCTTGAATTCGTTCAGAAATACTTGATTTTTCTCTACTACTCGGCAATGCGACAACCGCATGTGGGGATCAGGCATCCCCAAAAGGTCATGGATCTCGATCAGAGAATGCAACCGTACCTAGCTTATTCATAAAAGTTGACAGCCTCTAACCACCACCTCCTTTGATCCCTACCCCATCTTTCAGATAGCAAAAATTCCGAAAATCGATGTCTACTCGAAAATGAGGTCCACCTCTTCTTTTTATCATAGTTGACGCATTTCTACGAGATTGGAACTGAGAAGCTGTGCAGAAGATGGGCACTAGTCCTATTCAACAACTGTGGTTACCTTATAGCTTTGGGGTGTCCTTTAGTGAGGGGAAAAATCTGGTCCGAAAATTTGGTCAAAGTGTAGCAGAACTTTCCGTCCAATCTAATAGTTCACGATTGGGTTGTGTGGACGATCCGACTTCTTTATCATATAATACATTTAGCCTTGTGACAACCACCTATTCAAAGCTTTGAAACGTCTAAGGACTGAAAATTTCTCTGATTGACGCCAGTTCGAAGACGACATTGACGACGTCTCCTCACCGCAGGTTTCGTGAACTCAGTGATAAAAATCAAGTATAGAGAAGTGGAATCTAGAAGTAGCGGAAAAGAAGGGCTTTTTTCCCCCCGATATCTTGGCGATTATCTTGTTGATTGAAGGCCTCTTTCACTGAGGCGAAAATTCAGTTTATTCTTTGCCCAGAGTTTTGCTGGGTTCTCATTCAACCCATTTTGTAATGGTTATTCACAAACAACCCCTCCCTACGCCTAAAGGATTTTATCGGTAAACCGCGTAATTTCGCATCGTTGTCGCGCTCTACGCACGGCGTGTACTTTCGCCTCACATCCTTTCATCGGCTACCGTCTTTTAGGTTGGCGGTATGAGCTCACAAGCAGTGGTGAAATTTTCCTACGATCCTCGACTGGAAGACGAGTTAAAGTTGACGCGCGGCGAGACTGTAATAGTAATTAATAAAAGCAGTGACGGATGGTGGAAAGGAGAGGTGCATTTCTCATTTTTTTTTGCAATGGTTCCGCTTCGGAAATCGCAAAGTAGTTCAGAGATGCGGACAAACTGGCTGGTTTCCGTCCAACTACGTAGAGGAGGTTGCCGATCACCTGAATACAGGAGATAATGGAAATGATGGATCTGACGGGTGTACTGCTGGTGTCAGGCGTTCGCCGATAGCGATTATTTCTTCTCTGGCTCCTTCAACGCAGACCAAACCCGTGCTAGAAGTGAAGTGATTCTTCATATTTTCGTATGTGTTCTCTCATTTTCGGACGTTTTTAGTGTGTTGTTGCCCTCTACTCTTTCGATGCTTCAACAGCAGAGGAACTGTCTTTCAGAAAAGGTGTGTTTCCTCTTTTAGCGACTCAAAGTGTTCGCGCTTTCCAAATAGTCGACTTATATGGAGGAAAAGGCATTTCTCTTGGAAAAATCCTCGCGTTTGCAGATCGTGAGTAAAAAGTCCACGTATGATGTTATTAACTTATCATTAAACAAAAAGCAAAAGGAATGAAAGTAAACAAACAAAAAACTAAAAACGCTTCAAATGAGGTCCGTCTGATTTTCAACATTGAATATGCTTGCGGTGAAAGCGATAGACCTGACAAACGCAAACGGTCGCATAGGTAAGGCGCGAGAGAAAATTAAAAGTTGAGCCTTTTGTATGTATGTAAAAACTGCGGTAAGCCGGAGAGAGTTATACGTGCCGCAGCCTCCTCGCATCTCGCCCACACACTTTCAAGCCGAAGTAGACCCACCGCATTCTTCTTCTTCTACTTCAACGTTTGTCCCGCTCGATGGCAGCGTCCGCTCTTTCGAGATTTTAGGTCATCCCATTAAAAAAGTGCCGAGGATCTTCTTCATAAAAAAACGAAGAGAAAAACAGATAGAAAAGTAATATTTTGGCTTTGAATTAAGTAGATCCCTCCTTGACCAATGACCCGCTCTCAGGGCCCTGAGAGCGTTGGACCTCGGTACCTTCGGTTTTTCAACAAGTGCGAGTAAATTGCTGTTACTGCCAATTTCGGCGAATGAAAAAACATTGCAGCTCTTGCCGTCGGAGAGTACCCTCGACTGACCAACAGTTGGAATCGAACGGCTTTATGTTGGGCGAATGGGGCGATTGAACCGAGGTCTCAGTAATGTTTGTGTCCTAGCGCTGTCCTACAATTTAGTTAGTAGGGGTCTGGCACTAGGACGAGCAACGGTGGCCTTCTTGTAGTTGTGTGGTATCATCCATTTGTCGATCTGATTTCCGAGGAACAGGCAATATACACCGAAAGCAACGATTTTATTCTCTGTATAGAGCCGCCTAAAGCCACATTGTGGGAGTCCTCCGCCATGATGATCATCCACTTGTGCCCACGTAACTCCTCATGGTAGAAATCGGGCGGCTTCTCATCTGCATTCATACGAAATTGACGATTGTGATTCTCGGGGTCCAAGACCACGCATATTTCATCTAGGGCCGGGGTGCGTTTTCACAGTCGTGAACGACATCACATGCTGAGAACATTACTGCTAGAGGCATAGAATCGGTACTGCGTTCGTGCGTCTACAAGAAAATCAGGTACCCATGCGCACACCCTCTTGACCATCCTCAGTTTATCGGACTTAGAGGCAGTTGGCACGATAAATCCCCCAAGACGACTAGGATCAATACTTCTGGCAGGAAATTCCGCGACGGCGCTGTTTAGCGAAGGGGGGGGGGCATTTTCTACTAACATTGCTTCCCTAGTTCCGGTTTACGAATCTCACCATGGTAAAACTTGTGACCGCCTGTGAAACTGGGGTAAGATTGTCTAGCCACCATCTTAAAACGTGTCAACTCGAAAAAAAGGCTGCCTGGATGGGTCGACACATCTATGAAAAGCCGAAGGCTCCCCGTCGACAAACTGCGCCTTCCGCGACCTTTGGCAGGCGCTGCATAGCGGTTTTCCCGAGGAAGGTGCCCTTATAAGGGCCCTATCATGCTGTTACTCTACGCCCGCCACGCCCGCCCGCCCACAAATGGAAAGACCGTTCCTGACGCTCGTATTCATTCATTTGCTAGGCAAATTATGAAGCGAAGGGATTGGTATGAAGCGGCCGTGATGCTGCATGGATATATGAGTACACATATGCAGTCGTATCTCCGGTAGCGGTGATTGGCAAGATGCCTACGGGAAACTCGTCCGAAATCGATTTTCAAGTCACTGAGAACGGAGGCTTTTTCTTCGCAGGATTTTGACCGTTTCATTCCGCTCTTTCGCCCTTTCCCCTATATAGCGCCCTACTAGCATTTTGGGATAAGTAGGAAACCATCGTGCCAACTGCCTTTAACTGGGCCAGCAATTGCACCAGGAATCGATAGTCAGTCTACGCGGGAAAACTCGACAAGGGTCCAGCCTCTGTAATCAGACATAGTGCTTGGCTTCATCCACCCTCTTTCTTGTGCAGAATGAACATTATGGACCATCCACGACGGCTAAATTTTTCCATTTCTTTCCAAACCGTCCACCTTGTTATCACAAGAATGCTGAGTTTGGGCAAAAGTCGTGCCCCAGGCGTTAGTCGAACTCGCACTCACGCTTTCCGGGCGAGTGCGCTATCCGTTACGCCACCAGGGCCTATTTTACCCTCTCAGCTTAACGGCTTTTGCCGTAACCTTACAGCACTCACACGTTTAGCTTGGACTTGCGTACTGCGGCGTAAAACAGCAGTTATCCAACGCAAACAGCTTCAAAAACTTGTAAAACCTCCGGCCTCGCGGTTCCATGCCGATATCTAACGATTACGGCTGACCGGCTCACCGCTGATTTTCACCACTCAGGCTTCTTTTCGATTTCTTGTGAACTTCTTTGTGGATAGGTTAGCCAAATTTTACAGATACATAGCTAAAAGTACCAGCTTCCAAATGATACAGTAGCCCGTTGCCTTTGCCTTATCCCTTTTGTTTCCTGCCATTTCTTTATATGTCTCAGCACTTTTGAATGGGATGACCTAATAACTACGCCACTTTTCCCGATTAAATGTCTGATCGGGGTGAACGCCGGCTATTTTCACGTCACTATGCAGTGCGTTGAGCCAACGCTGTTTGCTACGCCCTTTTGGCCGCTTTCCAAGTACCTCAAGTTCAATACCAGTTTTGCGGACGGCGTCAGCCTTCGCACGAATGCGTGCCCGTATCACTGGAGACGCGTTTCACGCATTTCCTCTGCTATGAGGGCTACGCCATACTTCTTGCGCACGACATTATTACAAATGCGGTCCGATCGCGTGACGCCGTCGTCCAGCGCAGCATCTTCATTTCCATCACACCAAGGCTAGCTTCAAGTTTCTTTGGTCGCGGGCCAGCACTCGGCACTATATAGTGAACACGACAGGTCGGACGACAGTATGACAGATCTTTGACTTGAAACGCTCTGGAATTTTCCTGTCACAAAGGATTCCCGACATAGACCACCATTTAGACTGTGCCGCACTCACTCGTGCGCTCACTTCCCAATTTAGGCTGCCATCGGACACAACTGCTGGTCCAAGATACTTGAATGTTTCTGCGCGCTTGAGCACCGTGTCATCGATGTTATTGGAGCCGGGCTCACTTGTGTCGGTTGTCAGGTACTCGCTCTTTCTGACGTTCGGCCTGAGTCCGAACTTAGCCAGGCGTTCGGCCCAAGCTTGCACCTGCTGTTCCAGTGGGTTCTTATCTTCACAAGCAAGCATCACATCATCAGCGTAAAGCAGGGTCCAAGGGACTTCCTTCTGAAGATCTCGTGAGATGGCATCCATGACGGTAACGAAAAGAAGTGGGGAGAGCGCAGAGCATTGATGTACCCCGACTGTGATGGGGAACTATTGAGACACCCGCTGGTGAACGAACTTAGCTCCCTGGGCATGAGTAAAGGATGTGCACCCTCTCAATTAACTCTTCGAGTACGCCGTGCCGCCTCAAAGCTTATCACATAACATCACGCGGCACACGATCGAATGCCTTCTCCAGGTCTAAAAAGGCTACATGCAAGGGCTTCCGTTTCTCACGTTTCTCCAGCAATAGGCGAGAGTATGTATGGCGTCGATGGTGCTACAGCCCGCTACGAAGCCACATTGATTGGTGGAAAGCTGGACGATATCACGCACGCGGGCGTCAACAATTCGCTTAAAGCTTTTCATAGTGTGCGACAGAAGGCGAATTGGACGGTAGTTCGAGCAATCTGCCGTGCTGCCTTTCTTCTTCCAATTTGGGATCGTCATGCTCTGCGTCCTTGGGCACCTCCTTCTCTTCGACGATCTGGTTGGAGAATTTCGTCAACCACCCCGTAGAATATCAGCGTTATGACTTCCACAAATCAGCTGCCAAGTCGTCGGGGCCTGTTACTTTGCCGGCCTTCATCTTCCTCAGAACAGTTTCTGTTTCCTGTACGGTGATCTTCTGAACGGGACCATATGTTGGGGTGGTAAAATGTATAGCCGGATCGGCGAATTCCTCCGTTGAGATGCCTTCGAATTAAACGCGCCATCGTTGCAGTACCCTTTTTCGGTCCATCAGAAGGTGACCATTCTCATCATTCATGCAAAAACTTCTCAATGTCTTCGGTTTGGTGGTGGCGAGATTGGGCAAGTCAGTACAGGTAGCGCTCACCGTCGCGCGTCTCCAGCTTCTTGCCAGCTCATCGAAGTGAGCGGCCTTCACAGCAGCCACGGCCTTCTTTGCCGCATTCCTCGCCCCGATACTGCCGCCAGTTGTCAGCCGACTTGTGGTCGAGAAACGCTTGAAAGAACCTCTTCTTTTCTCGAACCTTCGCTTTGACGTTGTTCGTCCAGAGCCATGCCTCTTTGTCAATCCTCCGCCGTCCAATCTTCGTTGTGCCGAAATCGGAGCGGGCTTCCTGGATAATAGAATCAACAACTTCGTTCCAGGTCTATTAAACAGTTGTAAGTTCAGTAGTCGAATGCGAGAAATCACAGCTGCCTCCCGCTCCTTCAGTCGCCACCACTTAAAGACACATGGATCACACATAGTTTGGGTGTGTGTGGCTATCAGCCCTCCAGCTGTCGAAGCGTAGCGGTTTCCCCGTCCTAACATGCGCAGGAATGGAGGTACAGGACCGTGAAATACGCTAATTCCTCCATGCTTCGCCTGAAATGCAGCTTGCGACATAGACTCCCCTTTGTGCTAACAGCCGTCCGCGCGGCGCGTGTGCGCAGCTCATTTTGCCAAGTCCTGTAATTGCGGTTTGGAATACAAGTAAAACGCCATCTCCTGATGCGGATAACATTTTAGGTGCTGCAAAATAAGAGCCGAAGATGATGACGAGCTCCAGAACTTAAGAGCAACTGTGCTGCAGTGTCCCTCGGAGGCTGCGGCATTCGCAGCGAAATCAT